AATAACTGTAATAAATATAATAGAAAATATAATTTCAAATCATTTCATTTATTTTATAGCTTTAAATAGTGAAATGAGATATTGTTTTATTCCAAAATAATAATTTTGATTATTACTGAAAGTAACGTCATTTAAATGATATATTCTACAATGTTTATATTATTTGTGGCATTGATGTATTTATAAAGATATTAACTAATTTTTATTTGCTTAAATTATTTCCCTTACATTGCTGACTGAAAAATAGTAGCAAGTGCTAGTGGTGATATCCTGTTTAACTCAAATATCGTACAGTTGCATCTAAGGAATGCGACACGGGTAGAGTAAGGATACAAGGTGTTGAGTATACATAAATAGCACGTCATCGTCTAAAATAATCGGGCCAGCAATAATCAAGCAAACATACTCTATCGAGCCAATGAAAATCATGAATTTTCCCGTCCTGGAAAACCTATCAAAGTTTAATTTAATAGAATTACACTCACCTGAGCTAATCGTAAGTCCGTCGTTTAAGGAGCCACATTTCATTGAGTCCATGTAACCTCACTCCGAAACTATTGTCTCAAAACCTCGCCCCCGGGAGTCTTTAGTATCGATACATCGATGTTGGAACTCTGTTGCGCTGTCTGATATTTTCGCACTTGTGCACCCACCAAAGAGAAAGAGGAACTGAGACAAACTGACAATAGACAGAGAAAAATATGCAAAAAATTTCTTTAAAACTTTCTAAACAATTTGCAAACAAACACAAGTATAATAATTAGTTTTTTGAGCACTACGATTTCTTGTGCGAATACAGAACGATTGAGACGACAAACATTGATGTTAAACTCAGCTCGATAGACGGAAATCTTCGAGATGTCGAGAGGAAGAGTAGAACTGTAGAATATTGGGCGGTGGGGGAACAAATAGAGCGAGAGATTCGTAAAAAGATACTATTCTCAATGGTAGGAAGCACAAGTTTAGCGCCACGTGTGATTAGTTAGTAAACTAAAACTTAAGTATCACATACAATTACATTTTGAATATTTATATTATATTATAATAATGAGTTTTCTTCAAATATCTATTTCTTCTTTTACTGCACTACAGTCTTTGTAGGACCCTGACCTCAAGTATATATTAAATATATGGCTAAGTCTGGGGTAAATAACCACACTTTTTTGCAAGTACGTTCTTTATTATCTGGAGGCGCTTTTCTCACTGCTAGTCGGCAGCACGTCCGTCGCTCACCTCGAGAATGTTCTCATACGCCCTCTACCAGAAGTCCCTACAACTAGTGCCTTAACCTAAATTGCACATATCTTGACATACATACATACTCAAATAACACACTTATTGAATACAACTTATTGCATAAACTATACTTATAATCTAAATCGAACTTTCGGTACTTTAGTTTTCCTTTGACTTCCTATTATTATATTTCTATCCCTTGCTGCTGTGATGAAAGTTGGCTTGAGATGGCCAATATTAATATTTACCTCCTTGTCAAATACTCTTAGTGTATAATACTTTAGATGCTTTTTTAATACTTCAAAGGCACCATTATATACATATTTTCCTTTGGTCCAGCAATGAAAAATTCTCCCAGCAAATGAAGATCTTCACCATGTACTAATTGAGCTGGTGATACTTCTGTCTTCTTTAACAGCAGCATAGATGCCCAACAGCACTGTAGGAAGGGTATCTGTGCATCTTCCTGTCACATGATAACATGGAACACCTGCAGTTGTCTATGTAGCCTTTCTATCAATCTATTTGCTGCTGGATGGTATGTGGGTATTGTACTATGATTTGTGAACTCCAAACTGTACAATCCAGTTTTCAAAGAATACCCTCACAACTGTTGTAATTGCTTTACTAACTAATAGTGGATTTTGGAAACTGTTCTATTGTCTGTATTTTACCAGGTAATGGTCTAATTTCACCTTTTGTGACTATATGACCCAGAAATTGGATTTCTTGTTTTGCAAATATACATTTTTCCAGATTAATTAACAACCCAAAGTCCTGCAATATGCTGAAGAATTGGTGAAGGTGTATCTCTTATTCTTCACTATTTTCTGATGGTTCCAAAATATCATTTATATAAACAAAACAGAAGTCCAACCCTTGTGTAACCTTATCCATAAACCTTTAGAAGGTTTGAGCTATGCTTCTCAATTTCAAAAACATGAATATAAACTCGTAAAGACTACATAGAATTATAAATGCAATCTTGCCTGTCTTCTTCAGGTACCAGTATTTGGTTATATGCTCTTACTAAGTCTATATATGAAAATACAGTGTTCCCCCCAGATCAATCTAATGTCTTTTGCCTTGACAGTCATAGATTGTCAATAGGGTTTGTGTATGCATTGGCAAACAATTATGCTATATTGTACACATAAATACTGTAAGAACTGTATCTGCTGTTAAACTCAGCAGGTGACTTGACTCTAAATGCATAGTTAGTCGACCTAACAATAGGACAATTTTTATAAATAATTTGTCATTCTCACGCTACAAAAAGCACACCCAGAACACAGGAACACCAACCAGAAGACACTTCAACCACCTCCTACACACCGAAAATCCAAGTGAAAGACACACAATGTTTATAAAACAGCTTTTCCACACTAATCGGAGTTATATATACACATTCGCCGAGTGCACACTTAATACATCTAAATTGAATACTTTGTTAAATAATTATAAGTAAAAATATACATTCTTGTTGACCATGATGTATTACAAAATATAGTCCACTAAACATTAGCAAATTTGAAAGGCTTCACTCGGTTCATCCTAAGTTCTAAATTCGCGTCATCCACGATACAGTATATCCTCTGAATCATCCAATTTAAACTCAAAGTTTTGGTTGAATTAATTTTTCGATTCTTGCTCTAAGAGATAATAATTCCCTTCTGGATCACGTCAGGGTTACCAATAAACATGGCTAAATCTGAGGTTAATAACTACAGTTTTCTGCAATTACGTTCTTCACTATCTAAACGCGTTTTTTTTTACTACTGGTCGGCAGCGAGTCCAACACTCACCTCGAGATATGACAACGACCAGAATAGAACAATATAAAACCAAAGATCCCTAAGTCAGTTAGTTCACGAAAACAGAGTATAAACTGGTAGCCCTTAAGTAACTATAAGACCTAGATCCTAAATATAGTACATCACTCTAGCTTTTACATAGTTTAAGGACAATAATTTCTAAAAGAGCGAAAAATCGACGTCGTCTTCTTCTCTTACAAAAGATGAAAAAGAGGGACACAGCCATGAAAGAGGAAACGAGTAAAAGAAAAAGTATCAGAGTATAAACAAAATGACAAAGAAACAAATGAGGGAAAAGAAACTAGGAAAAGAATATTAAAGAAGACAGAAGACTATCTGTATGAATACAAAATTGCAAATAAAAAATACATGATTGTTCTATCATTAAAAAAAATATAATAGGTAAAACAAAAAAAGCTAACCTAATTAAACTATATAGAATAAATATAGGTGTTAAGAATTTGACTTTATTTTAAATAATATGATTCATTCCAAGCTGTGCAGTTATAAATTTCTGTGAAATATTTTTCATTATATATTTTTTTTAATGATCTAATTTACTAATTTTTATTTTAAAAAGCACCATTATTGTGATGTGTTAAATTATTTATAATTATAGCAATAAGTTACTAGACCATTGTAACATATATTAACTTCATTAAAATTTAAGAACAAAAAAGTCATCAATTTTGAAATAATTGTTAGAAAAGTAAATAATAATTAGAAAAGAAAAATAATTGTTATAATTTCAAGGTGTAGTTAATTTAGTAAATTTAAAGAAACAAACCTTGAAAAATATATCTGTGCATTGCAACGTCTCCCGATCATTTCTACGGTGACATATGTATGTACTTTGAGTGGTTAAGGCCGTAGCCACCAGATATTTCACACTAAGATGTGATTTTCATAAATGTCGTCACAGTCCTAGGAATATATATCCTATTTTGAACATGTTATCAGCTCGAGGCGTCTAGAGCAGGATTCGTCTGCGTCAACCCTACAGATGAGTATAATAGATGAACCCAAAATGAAACGCTTCCATTTTTCTTCCAACCTTCGAGCAGTATCTGAACTTACGAGCTGGTAGGCCGGAGATGGAACAAAATACCAATGTGCACGCCTCTGTAGGAGAATCCCTTGATATTTCATCGAGAAAGACCTAGGTCATAACATTATTAATTGTTGTATATAAATTATCGTTTTTAATATAGTTATATTTAGAAACATAAATTCAAAAATATTCACACCTTTTTGCACTTCGAAGTAAAGGAATTTTCATGTATTATTTTGTACTTTGAAAGATATGGGGAAGTTTTAACTCAAATATGTTTCAAGATATTTTACGTTACTAGATATAAGCTAAAGGTGAATTCTCAACTCAATCTATTTGACTAAATAAACTGTATCACTACAGAATAAAATCTAGAATAGAAACAACCAATTTGTTCAAATTTCTTTTCTCAGTGTATTTTAATCTATGCCAACCGAATGGAATTTTTATTCTCGGCTTCCCCGATTCTAATGTCAGTTATATCGTAATGTTCAATATTTATTGAAATGAATTTTTTGATTGTTTATAATCAGACGCTAATGTTTTAATATATACGAAATAACTGCGAATTTTAGTTGCGCGTATATTGTTTAAATGCGTTTTATTTATTGAGCGAAACAATCCTCGCTTTTTTTACACTATCAGGTACGTTTATCTTTTCTCGTGTACACATTATTTATTTCTGTTATATGTTTGCATACCGTATTGTCTTATTAACTTATCATGTATTATATTGAGATAAGAAAAATTATTTCTATACAAGGTTTTAATTGATTGAGATATATTTCTTTCAAGGAACGTTACTTTTTGAAAATTCGTGTTTATAAAGATATAAATGTTAAACAAATTAAAAAATTTAAAATATCAATAATTAAGATCTTAAATATCTTTTAATGCAAATCTTTGTAAAATGGGAATTACATGCATTATCTCTTTGAACAATTTTTATATACTATATTTAATCTGTGTTTCTCATAATTTGCTTTGATTTTTTATATTTTAACTGTTAAAGAATTTGTTAATAGATAATGATTATGCTTTTATGGATTACATACTATTAGTTTCTTGATTAGATTTTTCTTTGGATGATGCAATAAAAAATTTTCATGCTAATCTGTTAATATTACAAATGTAAAATTATAAGTGATGTATTATTTGTTATTTAAGTTCTTAGTTTGTCACACATTTATCTTTATCTTAAGTTTCTGTTTTTGTTTAACATTTATATGTAATTTATATTAGGAGTTATAAATTACTTAAATGTTTACCAAATTTAATTATTATTATTATTATTATATATAATTTTCAGCAAAGGTTATCATTTTCTAAAATGGCTGATTCCAGTGATTTGGATCGGCAAATAGAACAACTAAAAAAATGTGAAATTATCAAAGAAGCTGAAGTTAAAGCTCTTTGTGCAAAAGCACGTGAAATTCTAATTGAAGAAAGTAATGTACAAAGAGTTGATTCCCCAGTTACTGTATGTTTTTCTGAAAAAGAAAATAGAAAAGAATTATCATAATTATAATTTATAAAAGGTGTAATTTATTTTCAGGTATGTGGAGATATTCATGGGCAATTTTATGACTTGAAAGAATTATTTAAAGTTGGAGGAGATGTTCCAGAGACAAATTACCTGTTCATGGGAGATTTTGTTGACAGAGGGTTTTATAGTGTTGAAACATTCCTTCTTCTTTTGGCATTAAAAGTAATTATACATGTTTTATAATAATGTAATACATTAAAGATTAACAAATATACAAAGAGAATGATACAATTTTTTATATAGTTATACATTTTTTAAATTGTATATAAGAAAGAAGTATAATTATAAAACAAATCATTGCACTTATAATTGTAGCTACATGCATGAATATAATTATAATTACAGGTTCGTTATCCAGATAGGATTACATTAATAAGAGGAAACCACGAGTCTCGACAAATTACACAAGTTTATGGTTTCTATGATGAATGCTTACGCAAATATGGAAGTATTACAGTTTGGCGATATTGTACTGAAATATTTGATTATTTATCTCTCTCTGCAATAATTGATGGAAAAATATTTTGTGTTCATGGTGGATTATCTCCAAGTATTCAAACACTTGATCAAATAAGAACTATAGATAGAAAACAAGAAGTAAGTAAACATTATATTTAAGTTTTATTAAAAGAACTGCATCATCTGTTGAATAAATCTGTTGAATAATATGAAATACCACTTAAAACAATACTTATTAGTAACAACTTTGTTATAGGTACCACATGATGGTCCAATGTGTGATTTACTTTGGTCAGATCCTGAAGATACTCAAGGTTGGGGAGTTTCACCCCGTGGAGCAGGTTACCTCTTTGGAAGTGATGTTGTAGCACAGTTTAATTCTGCAAATGATATTGATATGATATGTAGAGCACATCAATTAGTTATGGAAGGATATAAATGGCATTTTAACGAGACTGTTTTGACTGTTTGGTCGGCACCTAATTATTGCTACAGGTACTTGCATTGTTACAAATATTATGTAAATTGTATATATAAAAGTATACAAATGTTATGTAAATTGTAAATGCATATTTTTCTAATTCACATTTATATTAACTAGTTTTGTTATACATTAATGTTTTTAACAAAGTACTATTTTAATAGATGTGGAAATGTTGCTGCAATATTAGAGTTAAATGAGCTTCTCCAACGAGATTTTACAATATTTGAAGCGGCACCACAAGAAAGTCGAGGAATACCCAGTAAAAAGCCTCAGGCTGATTACTTTTTATAAAAAAAGAATTAAAAAATTTAATTAAAAATGACTGTATAAACCAAAATATCTCCAAATGTTTTTTAAAAGGAAAAAATCATTTTAAACGATTATATGATATGTATTTACACAGATGTAAGCATGTCACATAAAGAAAAAAGGTGTTCGATCGTGAGAATATTATAGACAGAGGACAAAGTTGATCAATTTGTAATTGAATATTATCAACAGACTGCTAACGGTATTGAAAATACCACTTTGATATAATAAATACTATGAATACATAAATTTTCCAATATTATATTTTTCTTAGTAACAAAATTGATTTATATTTTATTTTTTAATACATACTAAA